CAGTGTTTCCTTAATTTAAGTGCTGCCTCGTCATCAAAATGTTTACTAGTTTTCTTGCCTTTGTTTTAAACAAAAAATTTTGTAAAGTTTGGTCCAAAATAAAAACTTCATTTTTCTAAATGTGACCTGTACCCTGTACATTTATATCCAAGTTAATCCTGTACTCCTCCTCTTACCAGCCTAATTAATGAAAAAAGTACTGATTACTTAATGTTTCTTTAGTTAAATTAATAAATCATATAGCCAGAATGCGTGAAAAAAGATAAAAGTTGCATCTATTTATTTCAAAACTAAGGCCTTCTATGGTCACGTGACTTTTAAAACTGCTTGATGCGCCATGGCCATTTGTTTAGTAGTGGGCCGTGGGGGTTATAGTAAGAGAGGTGTTACTCTAATTATTTTCTTGAAGTAACGTCAATATAGCAATATGTAGATAGGTACTTTCCTTAGCAATGTAAACTTTAAAGTAAATGTGATATTCAACAACATAACAATAAAATTTTATTTTTTATATATCAAAAATTTGAATCAACATATTGAAAATATAAATCTAGGTACCTACCTACTTGAATATATAACTTTTCATACAACAAGATAATAGTAATTAATAATCTATACCTAATACCTGCATTACATATGAGGAGATAGGAGATACACGATACCTATCGTTTCAAATTTTTTTATTAGTTTTCCATTTTTAATCATTAGCGGTTTAAAATAATGGTCATCAACTTCAAGGAAATTTTTTTCAGCAAATGAAGGCAGGTAGTTTATTCGTTTGGAGCTAAAACTATCATCTACAGCGAAAAAACTTCTGCCTAGGAAGGAAAATAATTTACTTTCCCTAGGGAGGGGAAATTACTATTTTCCTCCCTGAAAAGAATGTAAAAAAATGTCACTTTCTGACAGGGTCATAGGAAAATGTGTTTTTTCTCCAAACGTCAGAAAAACGTCACTATGTTAACTCCTGTCAAGATGTCAGAAATTTGATTTCTATGCTGCTAGGCAAATCCAGCGGGTTAACACCTGTCGAGGTGGTAGAAATTTAATTTCTATGCTGCTTGGCAACCCCAGCGGCAGCGAAAGTACTTTTAGTGCCGCTCGTACTTTTACTGCCGCTCAACCATCCACTTGCCCCCGAGCTTACCCCATTCGTTTGGAGAAAAAATAGCGTGTTGCATACGGAGTAGAAGCAATTTTTTGTGCTTCAGCAGTATTGCAAGCCTCACTACGTTCGGCTTGCTAACCTAACGCTTCATCACAAAAACGTAAAGCTTCTACTCCTAATACAACAATATACTATTTCCTGCCTTGCCTATAGTGCCTGTTTTATAAGTATTCTATTCTATCCTTCAAAGTCAGGTTATTTTTTATATATTTCCATTTTTACTCTAAAACAAATGCCAAGAACCGAACCAAGAATATCCCCTTTACTTTAAATTGCTAAAGAAAGTACCTATCTACTATAGCTATATTGATGTTACTTCAAGAAAATAATTAGAGTATTAATAACACCTCTGTTACTATAATCCCTATTAAATTAAAAGTAACGTTGTCATCAGTGACGATATGGAGCTGATATTACTTTAAAAAAAATAATTATAGTAACACCTCTGTTACTTTAGCCACGGCCAAAGGAAAAATGATGTTTTTCCCTGGGAAAATTTGAAAAGGTCTTTAGGGAAACTGGAAGGTATGGAATACAGACACATAAAAATTATGCTCGTGTTTTATTTCCCATAAACCACTAAGAAAAATAATCCCAATTATCTTTAAAAAAAAACAGACTTTAGGTACCTACTCGGTAGATAGGTATTAGTAAAATGCAGGTGGAGTAGAGCAACCTTCTACAAATAATGATTCCCTTATATGCTTATTAGGTAGAAACCTCTAAAATTTAGAAGCACACACTGCCTTCTCTGCCTTCTGTCTGTTTTGGAAAGGCTAATAATAAATAAATAAAAATAAATAATGATTATAATAAATGAATTGAAAAGTTGGGTTGAGTTTTCCATAGGGATGAGAATCGATTCCATATCCGATACTTACAAATCTGTGAATTCGATATATCGATTTAGTTGTCGCCCCCAGGAAAAGTTTACATGAAATTCTTGACATCTGGGCAGCACTGAATAAAATTGACCAATCAGAAATTTGGTGCCGTGACGTCACGGCACCAAGAAATTTGAACTTCAAATCGAAATTTAGAGCCTTTGCAAGTCCGAAAAAAATCGGAAAAAATACAGTTGAGCTTTATTTTCACTCCTATTTCCAATAACCCAATAAAAAACATTCATGCAAGAGGTCCATTGTACATCATGAAGGCCGCTGATTGTTGGTAGCTTTCAAGTTCAAGTTTGACTGTAATTCGATTTAGTTAGTGATTATTGTTGAGAGTTGTAAAGAGTTTAGTTGTTGAGTGAGTTATTGAAGTAATTATTGTCTGAGTGTTTAGTTACGTGGAATAAATTATTGCTGTGTTAATTGGACTTTGATTTTGGAATAAACGAACCCAAGATTTCTGTCACGCACCACAGAGGCGTGACAATATTTTATGCACTAGTTATATTACCACTAGAAGTTTGTTTTTATTTTGTTTGACTAATAAAAATTTTGATGCAAGAGCATTTAAATTTCTAAACTATGTGTAATGAGGGGGTGTATTGGAATTTTGCTGCTTCAGTTGATTTAAATTGTTTTTGCGTAACGAAAAGGCTTCAGACAAACCTTTAGCTGCATTCAATGGATAGTTGTACCTACTGGCTCTGGATTTAAAAAAAAATTAGACCTAGATTATCATTATAATATACCTAGTGGTCATTTGGCAAGATTGTATCACCGTCTGCTCCATGATAATCTATCTAAGAGTAAGAACAACAAATTTGAGATATTATAAGAAATAAAGTTGCTGACTAGGATTGTCGTTGCCATTTCGCGTCAGGTCATTTAAAATGTGTTGATAAGGTTTCGACAAACAGCCACACGCATTTCTGTTTGAATCATTTCGATTACTGTCGAAGTGCGGCACGTGATTGAAATATTCTGGTTTACATGAAGTACATTGCTATGATTACTAAATTACTGTGTTCAGAGTTTGCTGTGTTATCGACTATCAATTACCTATTCTGTTAGGCTCACGCCTACGTTAGTATTTTATTTATTTTTTATTTGGTTCAATTTCTTGCCGAAATAGACCCGAAACTATCCGCAAAGCTGCCAGTTGACAAGTCGATGGCAGATAATAATTTTTTAAAAGACTCCATTTTCGGACTAACAAAATTGGAATTATCTTATAATATTACCTATAATATAAAGTAAATGCTTCCGACTGACTGAAAATAAAGACAAAAAAGTCAGGTGCAAAACCTAGGTACCTACTCGGTATATTCTTATGAATGTATGTACATACCTACCTAGTGACACCATTGTAGGGTTTGCATTATTTTTTTTTTAGTTATATAATCTATAATTCAGAATTCTGTAACTCAATAAAGACAATAAAGCAATGATTATTTGAGCAAATATCTCTGATGTAGCAACTATTCTATTATTGGAGATACGACAGTATTGTAATCGACTTGCTAATTATCGTAGATATTGATTAATGGGGCATATACAGGCAATGTGGGAATTTCCGAATACTACTGACAATAAGGACCAATACTTTACTTAGGAAAAAAATCTGGTTTTGAAAAATCATTTCAAGTGCCTAAAACAAAGCATTTTCAGAAACACTTCAATTAAATAATACATTTATAGAAAACTCGTAGAGGTTATAAATCAATTTTTCTGCAAGAAACGTTGAGTCAAGAACATGTAACAAATAGTGAAATATTGGGGTCATACTGAGTTATTATCGGCCACATTAGTCATTGAGCAATAATAGTGTTATAAGATGTCAGTGTTGGATGAAATAAATTTATATAGGAATGAGTATTTTATTTCTCTGCAATTTGTTCGTACAAAAATCTGCGAGGAAATTCGCTATTGTGCAACGAAATCCCGGTTCAAGTTTACTGCTAGCCTAAACATTAAATGTTTGTCTATAATTCCAAGTCATTTGCTCGTTCCGCCAGGCGATATTTATGTTTCATTTGACTTTTTAATGAATTTACATTTTCCTTTTTTTATTCCCTACAGGGCAAGTAGTATCACAATTCCATAAAAAGGTTTTCAGAAACATATCAAAGTTTGCAACCAATTTTTTCACTTTGTTAGCTTGGTTAACTCGTATCAGTTATTTGATTTTTTTTTTCAGAAAGAATTATTATTATTATTATTATTATTATTATTATTATTCATTCATTTTTTTTTCTATTTCTATTTTACTTTTTTGGATCTCGTATCTCATGTACGAATGCAAGCTCAAGCCTATTTTCTTGCTTTGACATGGTTTTAGTACTAACCAATTGAAATCATCCTTTTACAATTCCTGAACGTTCTATAATTTACTAAAACAACTTCATACCGATTTAAAAAAAAAAATCAATATTTTGGAAGGGATTTTTTGAGAGAAAATTGGTCTCTCGTTTCATCTCGACGAGGTGAAAGATCGATTTTCTTGCCTTGGCGGCATCACTATTCGACAGCGCGTTACTATACTAGAATATAAAGATGGATATAGATATATTTAATCACTTTGTATAACTTAGTAGTACGAAATGACAAAACCAAGTCAAGCAAGCGCTCTTTAATTGGTATCATCTGTAAAGCGGTACAGTACAGTCAGCTTAGAAAAACGGTTCGTCAGGTCAGAGTTTGGGAACAAAAGATTTGGTAAATGTAATATAAATGTAAATGTAAATAAGTGAAAAAGCATCTCTAGTTTCATTTTATTCGATACACTTGAGAAAAAGCAAAAAAAAAAATCAGCCGGTTTACTTGAAGACAATTTTACGTAAAAGTTTCCTGTCTGAACCATTATACAGGCCTTGCCTGTACACTTCGTTGCCTGCAGCAAAGTAAAATTGGACTTCAACAATAGTTTTTATTTGTTCCAGTGTGTCACCTTCTAAGGCAAGGCGTAGCAGCTATTTTTGGTCCACAATCGCCACACACTGCCAGTCACGTGCAGTCTATTTGCGACACGATGGAAATACCCCATTTGGAGACCCGCTGGGACTACAGACTCCGTAGAGAAAGCTGTCTAGTCAATTTGTATCCGCATCCGACTACACTCTCCAGGGTAAATCACTTTCTATTTTAGAAGCTTTGTGTCTGAGTAAAAGTGGAAACTGATAGATTACTTTAAAGAGGTATAGAGAACATATATAGATTTCTTAAAATTGCACTGTCTAAAAGAATAGTTTGCTATTGATATGTTATCATAGAGCTAGGCTTAAATAAACCTTTATTTTAAGGCTGCAAAAATATTTATTGTAAGTGAATGCACCATCACAAATACATAAACTCTAAATTCTAAAATAAATATAAAGTGCAAGCAAAAAAATTTCGACATATTTATGAAATTTAAAAATGTTTGTCATATACGCCAAGATTATGAAAAATCCCTTATATTTTTTGCTTCACATGAAATAATCTATTTTCCAAATAAGACTACGGACCATTTACCTTTGGAACGTTGCCAAAGCGCTTCAAATCTACATAATAATATGCAGCCCGTGAGTATTAAATTTTTAAAGTTGCATTCCATGTATTTACCTTTTCGTTGCAAACTAAATTTCGAGAGATTTTTTGGTGCTCACGTTAATGGAAGTTTGAATTTCTTCATTGCTGCGCTCTTTTAAAAAATAATATTCTGGCTTTCTGGGATGCTGGTTCGGCGTAGACTAGGGTTATTTTTTAGATTGCATGTTTGTTTCATACAAACCTCATACTGCATATGTAGTTTTCCCTATTCAAGCTTCAACTATTAGTTTACTATATTTCTTACCTAAATAGAGTTAATTTGGGGTAGATGAGAACAGTTCCTCTAAAAAAAATGTATATTTTATATTACTTTACCATATTGCGCCTATAAAAGGCTGAGAATTTTCATCTGTATAATAAGAAAAAATTATATGCGAAAGACAATTAAAACCATAACAAAAACTGCACCTGTGCAGGGTATTTACTTTAGTTTGCTATATACAGGGTGGGCGAGCGAAAACGAAACAAGGTCGATATCTCGTATTCATCGTTCATTGAAAAAAATCGCTCGGACCCGTCGATTTTTATTCGGAGGGGGAGACCTTTTGCACATATTTTCAATGTTGTCACTTCAGCCCTCTCGCGGAGGTATGCTCCAACCCTTAAATCTTAAATGGCAGTAGGGGTCAAGCGATACCTCATTTCAAAGGTCATCGAATTCTCTTTTCAACAGTGCCTATTTTTTTGAATTTCCTCAGTTTTTTTTTTCAAAAGATATTAAAGATTAGAATGTATTCAGTTGAATTTTATTGAGTGATGAAAAAAACTAGACTTTAACCTTGTGATTTCAATATGAGTAACTTTTTTATTCGAATTGATCGCAAAATCGAATCAGGTACTTGTGACAAATATAAAAAATATTCAGAGTGTGAACTTGAAACCATAGAATTATTCACGAAAAACACAAATGTTAATCGCACCAAGTGCTAATAACTTATACTATGAGTTTGTGTTGGTCAGAGTACAACAATACTTGCGGATATCCTTGGTGAAGAGAAATCTAGTTCTCGTTCATTGGATGCTACGCTAGCTGCATACCGGTTTCGAGCTTGTTATCTCTCATGAGTGCAACATAAGTGAAAGCATACCATATCAGAGAACCAGTGTTGAAGCAAACCATACGACAAGATAGGAGTCAACCTATCCTAGCTCGTGGCTCCCACTTTTCGGAGTCATAGAAAACTGAACGAAGAAGCACCCCGTTTGGATGCAATAGAATTACAATTTTGGAAAACAAAAATATCGTTTTATCTTCTTGAATATGTAGCAGAAATTAAACCCCAAGTATCTACACAGAAGACAAGTGTTAATCGTAGGACCCTCTGCTAATAACGCATAGGTACTATGGAAGAAGATGGAATATTTTCTGTTTCTTTTTTTTTTTTTTTTTTCTTCAATATTCTAATGTCAATTTGGAAACTCTTCACCCCTCTCATCTCTACATTGTGATCTCATAAACGGAAAATTTCAGAAACAAATCCCAAAATTCGTCAACTGGCAGGCTTTCCTCGTCTCCTTATGGATTAGGTAGGCTACTGCCTGTCTCAACCTTTCATGTCCCTTCCGACGTGTATGTCTAATTTTCTTGTCTGTCCTAAGCTATTTTCTTAACGGGGATCTTCAAATGTGTGTTCTTCATAGGTCTCTCTTCAACTCTGCTGATCTGTTTGTTCCAATATTTTTTTCGCTGTCTTACTTACTCATCTAACTATGTTTTGTAATCTCACTCTTTTGACGAAAATCCTCGCTTTTAGGTCTCTCGTGTAGCCCTCTGATTCTGGTAATTATTGATGAATGTAGTCGTAACTATCTCTGTTCATTAGGTTTGAGGGCGATAACTGGGTTTAATTATATCTAAAGCCCAGAAGGACACATAAAAACTTAATTATACAGATTCTTGCCACTATCTACTTTCAAAGGGTAGAACTGGTTGTATGGCTTAGTTCTGAAGATTACTTATCAGATTCATTATTGCAACAGGCTCCTGAAGTTGAGGCTCAGCTAAATTCCGCGTTCAATTGGTAATTTTTCCGTATTTTTCTTGTTTTTCTGGTCTGTGATGTTTATTGATTTTCATGTGAACATGATGAGGTAGAGAAATCTGAGAGTGTCCTTCACTCCCGACTACTTTGTGAAGTTTTTTTCTTATTGCAGCTATATTTTGAATTAAGTTCCTGTGTTCCTTTTGGTGTGCATGGTGTGATTCAGCAACCCCATCTTTCAGCCAGGAAGGAAATGGTTGGCACAGTTCTATCAATATTAATTCGGGCTTGACATGAGTAATTTCATTTATTTAGTTTTTTTTTTTTTTTTTTCAAATTTCTATACATAATACCTTATATGTATTTTCTATTTTAAAACAACCTTAATTAATAACTTAAACGAGCGAGCAGAAGTGCAGTGTTTCAATGCCCTGACAGCTCCCTAAGGAATATTACACCTAATAGTTATTAATCCCAACAGGAAGCTCCAGCTCACAAAATCCATCTGGTACGTATTGGTCACATTTATCAAACTTCTGGAGTTCCAGAATTTTCAAGAGAATTCCGATATTATTATCTTGATCCTTCTCCAGATTACATGCGTAGATATAAGAGAAAAGTAATTTATCTTATGAAGGGACTTCAAACCGGGGTAGTTGTCAGACTCCCTCCTCCGCAGTATAGACTATTCAGGCGTATCAGTTCCGGCTTTTGATATTTAATTCTGGTTAATTGATTCGAACATGCTGGCTGTATAGATTGGAAGGAATGATGTAACCCATATTCAACTTTTACCTTATTTTAAAGGAGTACCTATTGAAACTTAGCATCCATTATAAACTCGCAAAGTTTGTGTCGGCCCTTTTGGAACGACTGGACTGGATTTATCGTCATTACCACGACGCAGTGCAACACTAATGCCCGTTTGTTCCGTCTTCGTCGTAAACAGTGATTAGCTAATCATTGATTAGTTTTCAAACAAACGGTGTTTAGTTAAATGAAGAAAGTACTTGGCAACAGGGTAATGTTCTTCGTTTTGGCTAACTTCATAATGCTCAAAGGCACGTTCATAACCACAATTTCATTTTTACTGTCTGACAAAGTCAAACTGTCAAACAAGTTGACTACCGTAGGTGGGTTCGGCTTACTCACTCCGTGCACACCAAATGACTCCATTCGCACTCCAGCCGTTCGGGTATTGCTTTTTGGCGTATTAGGGGTGACTCCGTTGGCCTTCGACTATACGGAGTGGACACAATTGTGTTGCCAACATAATGTCAGTTTGACTTTTATCTTTAAAAAAAAAAAAACAGATTTTAGGTACACGAAAGACCAAAGGGAAAAGTGAAAAAAAAAAATTGTAAACTGGAACGTTGAAAAGTCACGGTCGACTGTTGTTTTCAAACAACACAAATTAGCTGTTTGACTTCGTGTAATAATTTTTCACTCTAATTACTCTTAGATCACGTGACAAAAATCTGTTCTTACTCCACTCCAACTCCGTGCTGAATAGCCGAACCCAGCTCGTATAGTTTTTCGGGTTCTCTGTTAATTTTTGTCGTGTTATGAGTCATGGGTCATGACCTCCTGACTAAACTGATGTTTTTTCAATTTATTGTTCAAACGTCTGAAAAATACGAAGAATAATGTCAGGTTATCCAGCTCTTGCAATTGTTTTTTCTTTGGTAAACCTTCCAGGAAAATCCGAACTCCATAGCTTTGTTTCAAACCCAGCAGAGAACCGCACATTTCACCGTCAGGATTCTGCGCGAAACTTGAAATTTATGCGTAGAATCCGAAATTCGCATACAGAATGGTTCCTGGTTCCGAAACCATTCTTGAGACGGTTTTTTAGCGGGTTGGAACAGATAGTCCCCAGTACATCGACCCTAAAATTTTGTAACTCATGTACACGCCAAACTTCCTGAGCGGCTTCATAACACCAAGTCGGACAATATTTTTCATATCTCCACCCTGGGCGATGGAACATTGCCGCGCTAGCTCTTCGTGAAGTTGTCGTTCTAAGGAAGTTGATACATGTACGTGTAGTTTCAATGCCAATCGACTGCTTTTTACATTACATTAACGATATCACATTTGTCGGACAAAAACCATGTGGCTTTGGGGAAGGTCCGACGCCATCAACATGTCGCTGTGGCGTCCCTGAGGAAGTTGATACATGTACGTGTGGTTTTGATGCCAATCGACTGTTTTCTATGTTACATTATTGATATCACATAGGTCGGACAAAAATCACGTGGCATTGGGGGGGTCCGACGCCCCCAACATGTCGCTGTGACGTCCCTAAGGAAGTTGACACATGTATGTCCGACAAAAATAATTATGAATAACGATGTATTTTTAAAACATGTGCAGTAAATGTCGGACAAATAAAATGAGTATTAAAGTCAGTCGGACAACAAAAGTCGTTTTGATCAATTTCTGCCGAAATTCAGGATGTTCACTCCTGAGATTGCACAAAAAACACGACTGAATATCCATTCTTTCTCACACGCGTGGTTTTGAATGACCGTTTACTGAATAATTTCCGTAA